CGAGCCTCCCGCCCCCGAGATCGGCAACCCGATCGGCGCAGAGAGCGTCGTGCCGTTGGCGGTGCAGCCGCCGAGGCGGAAGAGAGGTCGCCCTCGCAAGGCGCCCGCGGTGAATGCTACAGTTGTGAGGCGGCCGATGCTTCCAGTTCAAAAATCTCTACCGTGCGAGTTCAAGTATGCTGCAGCGATGCCGCTCAAGAGGGCGTTGCAAGTGACGTATGTTCCAGAATTGTCTCGTGAAACTGTTGTTCCGAGAGTTATGCAAGGGTTTACTGTGTCATCGCAGTTTTTTTACCCAATTGGCTTCTTCGTTGCACGCTGCAGCCTGTTGTTCACAGCGCGACTCGGACGTGGACAAGTATGTCGGGCATGTTTTCCAGGCCGACGGCCATGACAGAGTTATGACCGACACGGCGTTGAGTGAACATCTCGGGGGGATATGTATGGTAAAACTTCGTAAGAGCAGGATTTGGACCGCAGCGGCCCTCCTTGCGCATGACCGCATGGAACGAATGGAGTTCGAATTGGCAATCGTAAAACACATTCCTGGACAGCATCTGTTGCCATATTTCGAGGACGTGCAGTACAATGAGACCCCGATGGAAGCGACAATTGATACGTCATATCGTCACGTCTTGGACCCAATCCAGGACGAGATTCCAGCAGCTCTCTTGGACAAAATACATGACGGCCAACTCGTAGAATTGAAAGGCAATGTTTCATATGGGACGTTCACGGTACCTCAATCAAAAGTTGTAAACAAGCTGTTACAGACCAGCTGCAGGCTAGCATGGACGTTTCAAATACCGAACGGGCGCATCATCAGCATCATGTCGCATGTTCTGTGCCCGTTGCATTTGTTGGAGCGCAATACAGGTGAAGTGATATGCAGAGCGCAGATAGAGGCGTCGGGCAGCAGCCGCGTGTCAGGTAAGTTTGCGATGGCTGTTCGAGGCGCGACCCTCGACCGAGCAAAGAGCAATCCTAAGGCAGAGCTCGGGTTCCTGAAGTCGAGACCTGGGTGGCACCAGTTCTCTTCTTGGTGCAGGCTCCATCTCTTCGCTACTATCGGTGGGTGGACCTTCAACTTCTTCCCAGAGCTGAAGGCTAATATTTCTGGTACGATACACTGTGCGAAATCAATTGAAGTTGGAAGCGCCAATGAGATGTTTGGCAAGTGCCTTCGGGATGAGATCAGGAGCAGCATCAGAATCGTTGAGGGCGTCTTGGGTAACGAGGCGCTCATCTTCAAGCGGCATGCCATGTGGTTATTTTGTTCGCGAGGGACTGGGATTTTGGAGAAGAGGTTGCTGTTGTCTGTGATGCCGAATGGGGATTGGCGGAAGCGCGACTGCGTCGAATACTACATTGACCCTGCCTCAGCATCGATACGGGACCCCGAGATGATAGCAGATATGTTGACGGCAGGTGTGTCGGCTGCATTGTTTTCAAAGAAGCTTTCGAAGTAGAACCGCATGCGGTGGACTGGGCCAGATATCAGCACGGACGAGCAAGGTATATTTGAAGCGTGTCATGGTTTGTTGTCTCGAGCTTATGTGCGGTATGCTCGGGAGTGCGGTGATAAGATTCCTTCGGTTTTCGACGATCGCCGCGGGCTCTTCAGATCGCTTGTTGATGGCGGTGCTCCTGGCGTATTGGCTGCTATTGCGGATAAGCTTCAGTTCCGAGACTATTCTGATGCCAAAAAGCCAAAGGGCGACGACGACGTGGACGACGACGAGGGCGGTGACCAGCAGCATGCACAAATCAACGCCAAGGAACGCAAGCTTGCTTTTGAATTTGCACAGACTGACCCGCTGGACATGTTGGTACTGCAACGTCAGGCCATGGAGATCGTCCGGGTCCTGCTGGAACTTCAGTTTAAGGTTTCAGGTGGCAGTTTCGAGCAACAACAACGCCAGAAGTTGGTGAATCAGAAGCTATACCGTGGAGAACTTCGCCGCCAATACCGCCTGGCTGTTGCAGCAACTGGGGGGTTCGAACAATTGGCATACCAGAAAATCAAAATGATGTACGAGATACCTGAGATGTGGGCATTGATTTCAGACCGAAGGAACACAGTGAAGTTCAGATGTTTGATTTTTCGGACACTGTCGCGGCTGGGGTGTGCAATTGAATATTACGTCGGCCAGCCGTCGAGAGGATGGCCTTTCAAGTTGTATACGCTTCTGAACGACCCTGGGCTGGCCGCAAGCATTAGGCACGACCCGCCATGCGCGATGGATCCAGCTTCGACAAAATTCCTCGAACATCATCCGACATTGGAGGGGCCGATTGTGTTGGCGAAGTTGGAGATCCGCGCGATGTTGCACGGGATAGATATCGGGCCCACGGAGAGCAGACACGCTCACCTTCGCAGGCTGCTCGCAGCAAAGTCGGCTCAAGTGAAAAGGATGTCAATGATTTCAGTTGGTTGCGAATGGGTTTTGCACCAGCATAGAGTTCGGAGCAAGACGATTGGGCTCATGAAAAAACGGCATGCGATCACCGCGGACGCCCCCGCCACCCAGAGGCGCATCAAGAAGAAACCTGCTGCCGAGGTCAGCCGACTTGAAAAGGTGGGCGAGGAAGGGGGGTGGGGGCATGGAATGTGAGATCGGCTGTGAGATCGATAGTGGGATCGGTTGTGAGATCGGTAGCCAGATTGATTGTGAGATCGGTCGAATGAGATCGACAATGAGATCGATAGCGAGATCGATAGTGAGATCGATCGAGTGCGACGTCGGCCCCTCCCCCCATCACCTCCTTATCACCCGAAGGGTGGTCGTATATATAGGGTTAGAGTTAGACTTGGAATTACGATTAGTGCGAGAGCTCGAGGAGGGGGAGACGACGACGACGACTACGACCACGACGACGACAACGGCGACGACGCCGACGACGACGACGATGATACGACGACGGCGACGACGACCACCACGACGACGACGACGTCGACGACGACGAGTTAGGACTATTATAGTTAGAGTAAGGGGTGGTCTCAAACATTTGTTTCTTTGTATTGTGTTCCTTCCCAGGGTAAATCAAGACCTCGGGCTGGTGGTGGCGGCGCCTGGAGGGCGCACGTTCAGGAGGAATGTGAAGGTAAGAAGGGCAGCGGTGACTTGGCTGCCATTGCACGCACGTTTCGGTTGCTGGACCCAACAGAGAGACAGCGCCTCAATGAGAGGGGCACGCGAGCAACGGCTGCCCGTCGACGAGCTCGCAAGGCAGGGCTCAATGTCAGATGTGCTGCATTTGGTTTGAAATCTTCGGCTGTTCGTCGTCGCCTGGCCGCTGCGAGCAGGAAGGCTGTGCGCGAGTCCTTGGTTAAGGCCCACCTTTCCTTCAACGACAAACTCTCTGAGATCATGGCGCCTGGCGGCAATCTGAACGCCTCTGTGCAGGATAAGGTTGCACTTTGCAGATCGATCACACGTTTTGAAAGTGCAAGGGAACGATCAGAAGAGCGAGCCGATAATGAGAGATTATGTGAATGGGAGAAGTTGCATGGAGTTGCTAGCATTGAGGAGTTAAGGAGCGCAATTCCCGATCTGCCCGTGCACCGTCTCGTTCCTGTTCCTTCAGTTCACGGCAGTTGCTTTGAGTTTGTGCCAGAGAGCCACGCAGCAGCGAACGCAGTAAGTTGGGCGGCCACTCAGAGGGGCTCGAACATCACCACGGCGTTTGTCAAGTATATGCAGGTCGTCAGTTCGCTCAAGCGTCATTCAGAGTGTCCGCCCATCGACGCATCTTATGGCTCGGAGCCCAGGACGCACTTGACACCGTCTATTTGCCAACTTGCTGGGAGATGTATCTGCGCAGGTGATGGCCTTCGCCTGAAAGCTATGGTGTCGGCGCTGAAGAACAAAGTTTTCCAGGTTGTGTTCAAGGGTGATCGGCTCCTAGCTCTTCGTCGCGGCTTCGTGATCGTACGCCTCCAAGGTGCCGAACCGCTGCCTCCCAGGGATCCCGACCTTGAGGTTGACGAGTTCCTCCACGTGGGCTTCAAGCTTATTACGCCTAACAAACTTTCTTACCAGAAGATAGAACACGTTCGAGAAGGGCTTCCAGACGATCATATTTTCAGTCGTGATATGTTATACGTGAAGGCTCGCGCACCCTCCAACACTTATGTTCGGGAATGTTTTTAGGGGAGGGGGCATGAAGGCCCGCGTAGTCGAGGGCCTAGGGGATTGGGCAGGTGGAGGGCCCAAGAGGAAATGACGGAGACGGGCGGGGTAGACAGGGTATGGAAGGAAGGGGGTGGACGGGGTTGGGAAGTAGCAGAGGGCCTCTAGGCGAGTGCGCGGGTCGTCGAAGGAATCGATTTTAATTTGGGGCCTTTCGCGGGCCGCCTCGTCACGAAATAGTTTAAATCGTTTCGGAGGGTAGGTGATGCTCACCGAGATCAGTTTCTGACCGTAGCGGGGCCCTCGCGGATAGCCTCTGCTGTGTCCTCTGGCCGGAACGATTTGGGCAATGTCGTGTTTGTTTGTTTTTGGGGCCCCGTCGTACGAATGCAGCCTGTTGCGTCAGAAATTTAGGTTTATTGGTGAACCTTCTCTCCATTGGAGCCCCTCTTGGAACCGTGCTGGGATGCCAGTGGCTGGGGGCCATCTTGAGATCTTGAGGCGGATCCGAAGGTCTTTGGGTCTTTGGGGGTAGCGTGTCATATCGTTTAGCTTGCCTTGGGACAGGCTGGCAATCGCGGTGACATAATGGGCCGTAGGCACGGCAACCAACAGTTCAAATTGTTGCCAAGCCTTCTCAGGCGACCTCGGAGTTCCAGACGGAGTATGATGCATTGGAGATTCTTCTTTCGTGTTCAAAATGGCGTTGCATCTTCTATGAGTTGGACGACAGCTGTCGGCCCACAACCTCTGTGCTGCCACACATAGTGCCAGCGATCGCTCAAAAGTACGGCGACTCTGTTGATCATATGTTTTGGCCACCGCCGCCGAGGAAAAAAGCTGGGAAGGCATGTGGCCCAGCTCCAGGTGCAGACGCAGAAGAAGCTATACACGCTGCCATTGCCATTGCCGATGCAGCTGCTGAGGGGGAGGACCCTGAGGCGCCTGAAGATCATCCTGGTGCCGATGTTCACGGCGAGGGTGGTGGCGATGATATCGATAAAGTCATGGTTGATTTATTGGGCGAGTTCATCGGCCCGCTGGAGGAGCCTCCAGAGCCCGATCCTCCTGGTCCTGCAGGTCCTCACGGCGGCGATCCTGGTCCAGGTCCTCATCCTGCCCCAGAGCCTGCTGGTGCAGCGCCAGATGTACCGCCGCCACCACCGCCAGATGTGCCACCAGCTGCACCAGCGGCTGCTCCTGGGCACGCAGGCGGTGGGGTTCCAGCAGGCGGCTTCGTCAGAGTTCCCAATGGTACCATCTCATTTTATTCGGTTGGTAGGAAGCGGTTCGCGGCATGTTGTTCGAGGCATCCTGAGTGTAATGCTGAGCGCAGTAGGAACGTCGATAAAGCAGTTGTCCCAGGTGGTCCGATGATTTACGGAGGGAGGCCGATTGGCTTCCTCGCTGCATGGCTGGCCGCAGGGCTGCGGGATGATATAAGGACCAAGGCTGACCACAAGGCCCTGTTGAGGGGCGGGGCCCCCGAGCTGGCATCGCAAGACTTGCGAATGCACCGCCGCAATGCTCTTTCGTTATTGCCTGGCGGCGAGCTGATCCAAAGTTTTGAACGTCAGCGTTGCGACGGCGAGCCTGTGGAACCTGAGACTCTCAGGGGTCTTTTGGGATAATGTATGAGGCCCTGATGCTGAGCATTCTTGGTGGGCCTCACGCCACTTTATTTTAATTTGACACATGCAGCGTGCAAGTGAACTTGACACGCGCATCTTGCAATTGGAAATGTTGTGATAACGAGGTGAATGCACGAGGTACCCAGACCCAATCAATGCCAGATCTGTTGTCGGGCCCAGGGTGGACGAGGAAGAACGTGCAGCGCGTGGTGAACTCTCGGGCCGACTTGGGTTCACCACTATGCGGTGGCCTGTTGCAGAAGTACGCCCAGGGGCTGTCATCTTGGAGCCCTCAAGGGCATATTGGGCGTCTTGGGCGTCTTGGAATCGTCAAGGGCATATTGGGCGTCTTCGGCGTCTTGGGGCAATATTGTGCGGCCATGGGCCATGGGCGTCTTGGGGCCATCTTGCAATAGCATCTTGGGCGTCCGCAGCACGGCCGCTGCAGTGCCGACGATCCGTGTGAGGGGTGGGTCGTGATGGGCGCTGGTTGGGCGTCTTGGGCGTCTTGGGATCAGAGAACAGCAACACAGCATGTCCCGCTGCTGCGTCGGGTATTCCTTACCGCTGCTGCGTCGGGAATTGTCGGCTTGCTTGGGAACGTTTCCCAGTGCGTGTCGTTGCCAGATATACAATTGCGCTGCGCGCGTGCACTGCCTGGACCAAACACTGTGGGTATAATTATATTGCAGCATCGGCGATGGCGGTGCTGGCCAAAGAATCCCTCCGATAGAAACTGAACCTGCATTGTGTCGGACCTGGAGCGGCCATGGGCCATGAGCGTCTTGGCGTGGGAGGGGGAGCATTGCGGTCGGTGCCCCCGAATGGCCTCACGGGGCCTGCGGTGGCTTGAACTATGTCCTAGGGTATTCCCCGTCGGCGGGCCTAGGGCCTAAGGGCTCAACAACCGCCACAGTCGGCGGCCGTGTCAAATCATAAGTGAACTCATCCTCGCCCGCTTACTTGTTCGCCTCCTCTTCCTCCTCATCATCATCATCACCATCATCATCATCATCGTCGTCCGCCCCCCTCCCACCACCTATAGTAATAGTCGTAGCAGCGGTAGTAGTGGTAGCATTAGCAGGGGTAGTGGTTCGAGAGGTTATGGAGGAGGCGGGGGAGGAACGTATCAATGCCAAATGGCCCGTTTGGCCAAATGGCGCCGCCGCACCCCCCGTGACCCCGCCCGCCGAGCCGACAGGCTGCCGTGGAGCGGCAGCGGCGGCGCGGGGCCACCCCCCTCCCCCAGCCGAAGGCTACGGCCCCCGAGCTTTTTTTCGGGCCCCCTGGCTGGTCGCGCTGGGGGGGGGGGGGCGAGGGGGCAACGGGGGGCTGTTGCCTGAGTGTAGGGTTGCTACGCATGCCCAGGGGCCCTCCGTCTGAGGGCAGCGGTTCGGGGGAGGCGGAGGATGAAGGTTATTTGCCCCACCGTTTTCGGCCCCAACCCTTGTAGTAGTAGTAGTAGTAGTAGTAGTAGTAGTAGTAGTAGTAGTAGTAGTAGTAGTAGTAGTAGTAGTAGCCGTAGCCGTAGCCGTAGCCGTAGCCGTAGCCGTAGCCGTAGTATTAGTAGTAGCAATGGCAGTAAGTTGCCAGCGGGGCCGTTCAGAGGTTTCTTGGTGCCTCCAGATTCGTGCATATATCTTCAAAATTCCCCAGATGTCTCAATATGTGCATGGGTGAGATCTCGGGATGCCCCAGGCCCCAGGATGTACCGACATATGCGGGCATTTGCATTGCAGGCTCCGCGGTAGCATACATGAGTTTTCGTGATGCTTCCAGTGTTTGTGATGTTTCCAGATGGCTCCCAGTGTCCGTCGGGGTGTCCTTTTATGTTTCTGGTTGTATCTAGATGCATTCAGGAGTCTCTGTAGGTATCCACGTCTCTCTAGATGTATATGGGTGTCACAACGTGTCTTTGCATGTCTGAAGGTCTCTCTGCATGTCCCTAAGCTTGCCTAAATGTACATGCGTGTTTTAGACGGGTTTTGGTGTATCTGGATGCCTCTGTGTCTGCAGAAGTGTCTGTAGATGTCTCAGACGCACACACATGATCCCGATAATTCACAAGGGCCCGAAGATGGGCCTGGACACGGCGGCATAGGACCCGTTATGGGGTTCTGCAGGAAACTGCCCCAGAGGACCCATTATGGGTTCAGCAGAACACTGAGGTAGGGGAGAAATGTGACGTCTTGGGGCCGTCCAGGGCATCTTGGGCGTCTTCGGCGTCGTGGGCGTCTTGGGACAATCGTGTGCCAACCATGGGCCGTGGGAGTCTTGGGGCCACCTTGGAACCCTCAATGGCATCTAGGCGTCCGCCGCACGGCCGCTGCAGTGCCGACGATCCGTGTGAGGGGTGGGTCGTGATGGGCGCTGATTGGGCGCCTTGGACGTCTTGGGATCAGGAAACAACAGCACAACATGTCCCGCTGCTGCGTCGGGTATTCCTTACCGCTGCTGCGTCGGGAATTGTTCGCTTGGGAACGTTCCCCAGTACGTGTCATTGCCAGATCCTGCTGCCAGATATACAAGTGCGCTTCGCGCGTGCACTGCCTGGACCAAACGCTGTGGGTATAACTCTATTCCAGCATCGGCGATGATGGTGCTGGTCAATTAATCTCACCGATAGAAACTGACTCTGGATGGTGTCGGGCCTGGAACGACCATGGGCCATGGGCGTCTTGGCGTGGGAGGGGGGAGATTGGCGGCTTGGCGACCATGGTTGCCCGTGGCATTGGAAGGGGGGCTGATTTGGCGTGCGGGGCGAGGCCCCATTCTTAGTCCTCCCCCATGGTCGAACGTCTGAGGATGATGAGGGTGAGGATGAAGATGATGGGGATGATGCGGATGATTATGATGATGGTGATGAGGATGACGAGGATGATGAGGACGATGAGGATGATGATGATGATGAGGATGATGATGATGATGGGGATGATGAGGATGACGAGGGTGATGGGGATGAGGCCCTCCCTTCTCCTCCTCCCCCCTCATTCTCCTCCTCCTCCTCCCTCCTCCTCCTCCTCCTCCTCCTCCATCATCATTCTCCTCCTCACTCCTCCTCATCCTCCTCCCCCCCTCCTCCTCCTCCTCCTTCTCCTCCCCCTCCTTCTCCTCCCCCTCCCCCGCCTCATCCCCCTCCCCATGGTCACACGTCTGAGGATGATGAGGCTGAGGATGAGGATGATGGGGGTGATAAGGATGATGGTGATGAGGATGAAAGGTGATGGTGATGAGGATGAGGATGATGAGGATGATGAGGATGATGATGATGAGGTTGATGATGATGAGGTTGATGATGCCCTCCCTGCTCATCCTCTTCCGCCCCCCTCCCTCCTCCTCCTCCTCCCTCCTCTCCTCCCTCCTCCTCCTCTCCCTCCCTCCCCCTCCTCCTCCTCCTCCTCCTCATCCTCCTCCTCCTCCTCCTCCTCCTCCTCCTCCTTCCTCCTCCCGCGAGCCCCTTGGGGTTGCCTGCAGGGGCCTCTTGGGGATGGGGCCATCTAGAATTTGGAGTCTCTTGGGGAGCCTCTTGAGGAGCCTCTTGAGAGCCTCGTGACCGCCTCTTGGGGTGCTTCTTGATCGTACCTCGGTGGCATCCTGGAGGACCCTCTCAAGAGGCCTCAAGTGGCCTCTCAAGGAGCTCCTGGAGGCCTCCTGGAGGACCCTCTCAAGGGGACATCGGGGGGCTCTTGTGAGCCTACTGGAGGGCTTCTTCGGTGGGCTCCTGAGGGCCCCCTGTGGCTTCCTGGAATAGCCCCTCGGCAGGGGGGCCCAGATGCTCTCAAGGAGATCCTCGAGCATCCTGGGGGCGGCTGTCGGGGGTAGGGGGGGGGGGGGAGGGGGGTGGGGGGGGGGGGGGAGGGGGGGGGGGGGGGGGGCCGCTCCGGGGGGCGGGGGGGTGGTGGGGGGTGGGGGGGGCGTGGGGGGGGGGGGGGGGGGGCGGGGGGGGGAAGGGGGGAGGGAGGGGGGCTCGTGGGGGGGGGGGGGGAGGGGGGGCGGGGGGCGGGACCAGGGGGGGGGGGGGTGGGGGGTGGGGGGCGGGGGGGGGGATGGGGTGGTGTCGATTTGAGGGTGACTTCAGGGCTGGTCGTCGGGGGGGGGAGGGGGGGGGGGAGTCACTTTGAGGTCACTCCTGGGGCGGCCGTGGGGGGACAGAGTCACTTTGAGGTCGCAGTCGTATGCAGGGTATGTCGTGGACTTAAAAAGTGATTCAAATATTGAGTCACTTTTGGGGCCTCCCCTTCAAAAGTGACTCACTTTTTAGGTCCACGACATACCTCGGGGCTTCTGTCGGAACGCAGGGTGGCGACGAGTGACTCTGTGGAACCAGTGGGCATACCCCAAGTGGCACAGAGTTGCCCCGCAATGGCTTGGACGCGACCCCGAACTGACCAGACATGTAACTCATCAGCGAGTCCGAGTGACCCAGTCCCAACTTAAACTGACCACAAAGTGACTCAAAAATAACTCAGAAGTAACTTTCGGGGTTCCGATATAGATCGGCTGGGACTTACGTTTTAGTCCTACTGGAGTTATTTTTGAGTCACTTTGGAGTCAGTTTAAGTTGCGATTGGTTCATGATGAAGTTACATTTTAGTTACT